GATATAAAAGATATAAAAGATATAAAAGATATAAAGGATATAAAAGATATAAAAAGTATAAAAGATATAAAAGATATAAAAAGTATAAAAGATATAAAAAGTATAAAAAGGATATAAGTAAGATATAGATAATAAGTGAGATAAAGAAGAAGTAGTCATATAAAGGCATAAAGGCATAAAGGCATAAAGACATAAATATATAAGAATATAAGAATATAAGAATATAAGAATATAAAGACATAAGAATATAAAGATATAATATATAGATATAAGGTAAAGTGGGTGCTCTCATAGCTCAGTCGGTAGAGCATGGTGCTAATAACGCCAGGGTCGCAGGTTCGAAACCTGCTGAGAGCATTGTTTTTAAACTTAAAGACGTACGTAGAAATATTTTTTGTTTTTTTTTTTTTGTTTTTTATAAATTTTCCTTTTTATTTGTATTTTTTTTGTTCTGTTTTTCTACTTTTTTTTTTTATTTTTTTTTTGTTATATTTTTTTTTTTTTTTTGGAGTTTGAAGGTGGCATGTCTGAAACACCATACACAAACCCTATTACAAATTCATACTTCGACTCTCCCACTTATTATCTGGTTATGACGGGTCTTTGAATTTGGATTGTATTTGGTAATGCTGCAAAGGGTGCAGCAAGAGAATACAGTAGAATATTACATGGATTTAATATAAGAATCTACTGAAGTGTGGGTATGACTAAAAGAAGATTAGTCAAAGGAAGACTAAAAGAAAATTAGTCAAAGTAATATAGTAGTAATAAAATGATTCCTTCTTCCATTCATAAAATAAGAAAAATGAAATTCCTTAAAATTAAGGCAGAAAACAAACAAAGGATTAAAAAGAAGAAATAAGCAGAAGAAGTTTGAAAAAACCTTAATAGGAAAAATAAAGCAAAGAAGTGCTTTCCTCATTTTGCAAGACAAACCTAAATAATAGGTTCAAAAAAGAGATTACTCTTTTTTAATAAGCTCAGGGATGGGATTAGTCTCCCCTGAGCTAGGAAGAATAGATGAAAATTCTATTAATACTTAATTAACTAATTTTTATTGTTTATCATTTATTATCTTTATTAAATTATTTGTTAGAAGTATTATTGTTAAAAATTGAAAATTCAAATCATAAACGAAGAAATAATAAAAATAAAACTTAATTGATTTTTCTTCTCTTCATTTTTTTTGTTATTTTTAACAAAATTCTAATAATACTAAAAATAAACTAATTATAGAAAATAACAATATTATAATTTTATTATTATTATATTATTAATATTATTATATATTTATTGTTATTGTAAAAATAAAATAAATAACATTTATTTAAAATAAAATGATGTTAAAAATAATCTTTGAATTGATGTGTTAATAATGTGTATTTACTATTTAAACATTCATATTTTGAACTTATAAACATCAATTTAAATTAAAATGAAT